CTCTGCTATTCCAAGTGTTGTGACGTAAGGTTCTGTTTTCTACGTTCCCTTGTACATATAACCACTTTCCTGGTTATGGATGTCGAGTAGACCTTCGGGAACCAAGAAAAATGTTTGGGCGGCGATCACAAATCAGTGGAAAGAAGATTCGTGGTTATTTATAAGGTACAACACTATTCTGCTACAGCCCGCTTCACTGGTTAACGGATATGTGCCGTTAGTTACATTCTCAACGGTTTGTGCTCGCTATTCAGACGGGCCGACCCATGCCCGCCGTGTCTAAAGTTAGCTCGGGCCTGGAGGATTTCGGTATTGCTCCCTCCCATCCCTGTACTCCAAGATAGCGTTGTCCTTGTTTGCAATTGTCAGGTGGAGATAGCCTGACCTGGGAGTGGAACTCGGCTTATCGTAGTTGGCGGTTATCGCCATAATCCCTAGACCATTCAGTTCTGCGAGCCTCGTTGCTGTCATTCCGGAGACTGTGCGATCGGCTCGGATTGGCCATTCGTCCATCTGGTCGATATTACATCATTTGGTCAAGCGCCACAGCAGACATGGACTCAGGCGCGTGCAATCTGCTTGTCGCTTGGCAAACCAACCCGTTACTCTGCTGTCTCTCATTTGCGATAGATTCTGATGGGTGGCGTCTGATTAGCTCCCGGTCCATAGGCCCGGCAAGGGTTTCATTCAACCTTGTTTTCAGCCATCATCACAGCGGGTGGTCAAAACGTAGCTTGTTTCTCTATAGTAAAGCCCTGCTTGTGAAGCTCTGGCTTTGTGACTAAGGCGTAAACCGTCAGCCTTGTATGTCGTTCTTCTTCGCTTTACTCACGCTATATCTATCTGAGGAATTCAAATTAGAACGAGACCAGTCGGTCGTGGAGTGCAGCTCCGGAACTAATCTCTGAGTTTTATTTTCTCACAATTGAGCTTGGTCTACACATGTACTTGAAACTGTTAAGAAGTTAAAGGGCTCGTTTTGGCGCTCTCGGATTAAAAAGGTTTGCTGTTCCAAGTGCTTTATTTCCAGGGTTTGCAACTGCATCTATTCCCCTCACTGGTTACACTGTTTACCGGTTATTTTCCTGGGACTTCTTAAAAAAACTATATACCTTTTGTCCGCTCGCTAGAATTTAACTCTTTAACTTTCCAACCAGGATTTTAAACGCTCTCTCACCCTTTACATGCTATTCTGGATATAACCATATCTAGTTCCACTACACGATCGAAATTTAAAGTGTTATATTATCGGACATCTTTGTATCATAATTCTCTCCTTAGTTATCCATCACGCTAACTAGTCGACACACCAGGAATGAAAGATCGCATGTATGACCGTAAGCTTGAGTGAAAATCGTTTTATTGCTACCAACTTTTACTTCGCATTGATGTTTCGTTATAGTATATCCGCAGTGTTCACGTGAATTACTGAAAATGCGTCTCTCTAGCCGCATAAATTTTATGTTGACTTGACCTGACTACATGTACCAGCGTGTTTACTTGCTTGCATTTTACGTTTGATTATTGATAAGCCAGTTGTGGTTTGCGACGCTAGCGGAGCTGAATTTGGGAGTGAGAATTGATCGGAGAGCAAATACCAGTCCGCGTCAAAGGAATCGAACTATTCCGTCAATATGATTCACCCGTGGAGTGGAGCTCAGTCTCACTGGCTGAAAACCAGACGCGGAATAGTGAGCGACATTGACCTCCTAAATTAGCATGTTTCGATTACCAATAAATAGGGCTAACCTCTCCCGTAGAGATACACTCTCTGTCTACCGAGTTCTGGCCTTTTGCTGGGCCTGATGCTATTCAGACAGTCGCAGTCCCATAGGGCAGCTAGCATCAGTAAAACAGCTGTCAGTAGCAGAGGGAAAGAAGAAGCGTTATAACAGTTGGCAAGATGCTTATTACTAAAACCATCCGCCTCCATTACTAGATCTATGACACTTAATCATTGCCGAGGGGAAAGAGTACATGGCTCCCGTGACGATGTTAGGCTTAAAGAGTGGTTCCATCCTGTGTGAAACAGGTTACGGCCCAGCCACTGCCGTGTGTACGTCTGGTATGCATGTCTCCCAATGTTCAAATAAAAGAATGATGTGCAAGTTGAAGGAGCGCGTGCCAGCTTCGAAGCAATGTAGCGCCCATGTACACGTTTCCCAGTCCTATTCCTTTACGAATTTGCACTGGATATGGGGCGCGTGGGTGGAGCTGTAGTTGTTGCAGCGCGTGCCACCCATGGTCCTCCCAAGTAGACACCAGTGTCCTGTGGCTATTCAGAATCTCGGTGACAGGCAAAACCGGAAACGGGTGCCAACAGCCATATGGTAGCGACTGTTGATAAGTATGGAGCGATCAAAAATCACGGAACATTCATAATAAGTAAAAATGGGAATAGATGAACAATAAGGTAGAATATGTGAATTCGGCATGGCCAGTATGTTAAATAGTTGAGCCGATGCGAGGACTCATGCAGTTCTGCCGTTGCGTCTAATTCCATAATATGTTGGCAATTTAATCACAGATGGGCAACAAGCTACTGGAGACCTTGATAAGGCGAACGAGCTGTTGCGTGTTTTCCAGGAAGTTCATCGAATGCACAATGGGAATTCAATACCATTGTTGTCGCATCGCGTATGCGAGTGCAAAATGGACGAAATCGTCATAACTGCTTCAGATATTTTCTCTGTACGGAAGGACTTAAACTCATACCAAACACCTGGCCCCGATAATGTGCATCCCAATATTGTCAAGCCGATTGCTGACAGACTCCAGCTTCCTATTCTTGAGTTATACAACATGTCTCTTCGTAAGGGGAGAATACCACAGAATTGGAAGGAAGCAGTTGTGGTGGCGATCCAAACTGGTGGGATTAAATCTTCATCCAAATAACTACAGGCCTGTTACTCTAACGTTCTTCTCAAGTGTCTAGGAATCGAATCTATGGACATCTGGCTGTTAATAATTTGATCGGAGCAGAACAGCATGGCATGGTCAAGAAAAAGTAACGCCTTTTTAACCAGCTGTTTCCTCGATGAAATAACTCGATATCTCGATGATAGCATACCAGTAGAAGTATGTTACCTTGACTTCAGTAAAGCTTTTGATTCGGTGAACCACCGTTTCTTGTTAGAAAAAAATGTCCTGGCTTGGAATCCCACCTCAACTGCTTTCATTGCTGTCTGCATTCCTTTATGGTAGGACATTCCGTGTCAGGATTGGTGACGTTATTTCGACGGAAGGCACTGCTCACAGTGGAGTTCCCCAGGGATCAGTACTCGGTCCGTTGCTATTTCTCATGTTTATAAATGACTTGGTCCTTCTACTTAAAGACCCCTCCTATATGTCTGTTGACGACTTGAAGTTTGTCAGCGGGGGAGATAGGGCTTCGTTGTCTAGAGATTGCGCTACCGCTCTTAATTGGCCACATTTGTGGGACTTAGCATTGAACACCAGCAAAGGTCAAATCCTAACTCCGCGTGATGAAGAGGTTATTATGCATACATTTAATGGGTCCCTGACACTGCAGCATGTCACTGAGGCACGTGATCTAGGTGCGATCATGACGTGTGACTTTAAGCCCTCGGAACAGTGCAGACATACGGCTAATAAAGCGTGACAGGAGTTATTTCGTCTCATGAGAGCTCTGAGTTGCACCAAGATAGAGGTCTTCCCCTCCTTGTTCAAAGCTGTGGTCAGACCTCCTCTGGAATACTGTGTTCAGGCCTAGGTACCCTACCCGCAGAAAGATAATATTTTCATTGAGAATGTGCAAAGACTGGCTACTCGAATGATAGAAGACCAGTGTGGGTTATCGCATGAAGATCGGTTAGCTAGCTTAAGTTTGTTTACAATGAGAAGATGAAGATTGAGGTGACTTAATAGATACGTTTAAAATCAAGAATGGTCTCAGGTATACCGATAGGTTTGAAACAGCTACATCAGACAACTTGCGGAGTCATTGCACGAAATTGAAGCAGCATAGGTCTAGGCTAGAGTTAATGGCCAGATTCTTCACAAACCGGATTGTGCCTGTTTGGATTAACCTTCCGTCTGCTCTACTAGGATGCGAAACTGTGGAGGAATTTAAACGTAGCCTAGACAAACATCGGCTGGTCCTGTTCCCAGAATTTCCTTGAGCTTTGGTGAAGGCCCCTAATCTCATTACTTCATGAAAGTGTGTTGGTCATCTTGCACTTACTTCTGTTTTTCACCATTATAGAATCAAGAACATTCTATCAAGTCGCAGTGCTGGGGGTACTTTTGCGCTTATTGGCACAAGAAATGAGATACTCGTTAAGCGGAAGTTTGATTCGTCCCTGTATTCTGTCCTGTCCTGTCCTCAAGTGTTCCAAGTAGGTGGTGTTCTTTATTTCTAAATCCCAGCTAAGAAGACGCGCGGGATGGACGACTGCTAAACAGGAGATTATCTTGTTTGTTCGCTATGTGGTAGGCTGACCCCCGCGCGACCTCTTCAAGTGCAGTCATGTGCGAGCGAATAGAGCGCTAGGTTGTAATTACTTCGACGGCATTCGTAGGATGTGAGCAAGCTAATAGTGCAAAAAACAGCATCTTGTGAGTAGGCTAGAATTGCCTAGGATGTAATGTCTAATTTCATCATAAACGCGTTCCCGCCGCGCGCGATGTATCTCTCGTAAACACTCGCAATCAAAGGACGCACGGTAGGCAGAAGGAAAACATCAACCTGCGGCGTAAAAACATGTGCGTTTTCTAGCAACCGTGCTGTGCGACTACGTTTGTGTACCTCGGCGGAGACAACTGTAGGCGATTGTTACAGTCGGACGGGATCTTTAACTCGAGTGGAATGAACCAGTTTGTACTAAGTCTGTCGGAACAACACCTCATCGCTGGTGCAAGCTGTGAAGATGACAAATGTTGTCGACAATCAGAATACATATGTAAAACTAGCGTCGAAAAATGGTACCTTCTAGTGACCAAGAAGTCCCGATCTAAGAACCATGTATAAAAAGAAGTGGTTGTTATATTCAAAATTGTATGTTCAAGAGAGATTTTACAAGAAAATGGAGAAAGGTAAGTGCCAGAAGCTCAACTAAACCGGGCAATGAAGGACTAGAAGGAAACATGCTAGTCGTTTCGTTACTTAGTGCCCAGCCTGATTACGCAAAAGGACATATACTTGCTCCTTGATCCAGTTTTTGGGATGAGGAATGTAAGTGTATGTGGGCTCATGATAAACAAGGCAGCTCAAATCCGCCAGTTGATCAATGAAGTGAAACAACTGTGATATGTCGTAGGTTATGGTCGGTGCATTTGGATTCTCCCTTTTCAATTGCTCTTCGTAAATTTTACAGACACCCTCAAGACACTGCTCGACCGTCTCATAATCTGACCAAGTACGTGTATCCGGCTTCTTCACAGAAGTCTGAACCAAAAGGATGGTATGGGGCATGTCGGAGGCTGAAAGAAAAAGCGGCTTGCAACGACAGGTTTAAAAAGAAAAGGAAGATAGTGGCATTCAGATAACAATAGGCAGGCGCTGCGACATAATCACCGATTGTCATATGCAAGTATTGTACCGCATGCTTAGCGAACCACAAAAAACGGTGACCGGAAAAAAGCGTACACGAAAATTGCGTACAGCAAAAAGCGTACGCGGAACATTTCACCCTCGGTGAATGGCGCACAGTAGATGGTGAACACGGAACTACACCAGTTCGATCGCTTTGCACAAAAACGACTGCCCTAGGTATCAAATCCCCCATGACTCATTCAGAATACTCAACAGGCAGAGTACTGTTGGCCTACTGCAGTTTGCCGAAGTCTCAGTAATCAGATGGCTCCAACGTACTTGGTGTGACCAGACCGAGCTCGTGACTAGCCTAGCCTTAGCTTGATGACGTTGGTGAACGAGTCAAAAGACCGAGAGCCACGTTTGCAAAGTGGTACTGCACATGGAAGGATGCCCACATAGTAAATTCCCCATGCAAGAAAACACCTGGAAAATTCGAAGGGGTCTGCAGATGTACTCGGTTTGTGAGAGTACAATATGTACAATGGCAATTGAACCTACTTCTTCCGTTGCACACTTAGACTATCGATGAGAAAGGTGAACTGGCAATTCATGACACACCCATGGTCGGATTCCTCGCACATCTGCGACATGCACTGTTATTCCCGCTTTCCCAACCAACGCGGTTCACCGGTGTCACCATATAACGGACACATGTATGTGCACAGTAAAAGCGTCAGCTTTCAAGATTACGTTCCTCTGGACTGATCTTCGGGCCAGCCGTCATAAAGTGCTTATGAACTTGGTCTGGCCACACAAAGTGTATTGGACCCACCGAATCGCCTGACTACTTGCAATAGTCTTAAAACGCCTTCAGGATAGCGGATTGAAACTCAAAGAAGCAAAATGTGTCCTCTTTTGCGATAAGCTGGGACAATACGTTGACTCTTCCTCTAATTGTTGTTGCAGACAGACCTAACCTACTTGGAATGAACTGGTTAAAATACACGCCGGAAATATTACAATCGGTCAGGAAGGTGGACAGGATTTCTGACTTATCTACACTCTTGAAAACCTTTGCCGGTATTTTCGATATAAATATACCTGGGAAATTACGCGATTTCAAAGCTTACTTGAATAGCAAGCCACAGAATAAACCGAAATTTTACAAGACACGGACGTTACCTTTCGCAATCCGTCCGAAGGTGGAGTTAGAGCGATTACAAAAGGATGGAATAATTTCAGCCATATGCCACTCTTCCTGGGCTGTACCCATCGTTCCTGTACAGAAGCCTGATGGCTCACTTCGCATTTGCGGCGACTACAAACTAACGGTTAATCAAGCGACGATGACGGAACATTAGCCGATTCCATGGATAAATGACGTTTACCCAACTTCGTCGAGTGGACAAAAGTTATCGAAAGTTGATCTAATCCATGTTTATTTTTAAGTGGAGCTACAGGAATCCTCAAACAAAATTGGTTGGTGGCATCCGGTTTCGGATTTGTCTGTCACTGTGGGCAGCCATGGGACGCCTGCGCCTACAGAGGGACCATGGGTGGCTTGCGCTGCATCACCCACACACCCCGTATCCGGTCGAAACCCGAAGGAATAAGACCGAGGCATGTGGATGGGAGCAAGATTCCATCAACGGAGCCGGCCCATATCCTTCACACTGTATTTGGGAAACAATCGCAAATAAGGCGGTGGCTGGACCGTAGTCCGCTCCACACACAAACAGTGTGCATGGAACCACTCTTCGAGCCTAGCACGGCCACAAGGATCGTGCACCTCGTACACTCCAGCAACGACTAACTGTCTCCTGGAGCCAGTATGGACGAGGTAGTGGGTAATAGACAGGTAGGCACCTTGTCAACATGCACATCAAGCGCATCCACAACGGGGATGTCAAACAACAGCAAATCACTTGGGAGAAAGACAATAAAGAAAATAAATCGAGTAATGCATAAGGAAACGGTGACACAAATCTTAAATTAATGAGCATATGAAATAAGTTGTTTACAAACGAATCCTAGATAAGTTCACGAGGTCAGAAGTATATTTTACGGAAATGACACAAACGCGAAAATGTTTTCGAAATTAACTACAGTTGGCTTAAGCGAGTTGTGCAAGTTTACAGAAGAGCGTACAGGTGGACATTTATTTGAGAAAGAAAAGCATTAGGACAAAATTGAAAACCCACCAACTGAAATAAAGAGACCTAGTATGCAAGTACGCGGTTAGTAAATCGAATGCATCGTACGTACAAACGCTGCGCCGGTTCTGTCTACGTTCTCTGCAGGACGCGTCGTCGCTTCGGTAGTGGTCCCGAGTGGCCTCGCTCATGGCTCACTACGCCTGCCTGACACAGGCACTTGCGACCGCTTGTGCTACCGCACCATGCGCTCGATGTCGATGGAGTACCCATCGGTCAAAGGAAATTACTACCATTAATACGCACATGGGGATTATTCTGCCATAACCGAATACCATTCGGGATACACTCCGAGCCGGCGATCTTTGAGAGAATTATAGACAACCTAGTGAAAGGTATACACGGAGTTTGCGCTTACTTGGACGACGTTTTGGTTACTGGTCGTACCGGCTACAAACATATGACAGCACTTGCAACAGTCTTGAAACGCCTTCAGGAGAGCGGACGGAAACTTAAGGAATCTAAAGGTGTCTTCTTTTGTGATACAGTTTAGTAGCTGAGATTTCATTTGGGTAAACAAGGATTACATCCCCTACGGGAAAAATTCAACCCATTCTGAATTCTCCAACACACCGAAATATTAATGAACTGCAACCATTTCTTGGGATGGTAACCCATTACAGTCGTCTTTTTACCAGATTTGGATAGTCTTCTCGCATCATTGTATAGTTTACTTCGTAAGAATACCAGGTGGCTGTGGTCCAATGAACAACAAAAAGCTTATGATGCTGTCAGATTAGCTATTAGTAACGCTAACTTGTTGGTGCATTTTGACCCCAAAAAACCGATCACTCTTCGTTGCGATACGTTACCCACAGGGCGCGGGGCCGTACTGTCACACCAAATGGAAGACATTACCGAGCGACCAATAGCATTTGCGTAAAGAAGTTTGGCAACAGCGGAAGACAGGGAAGCTTTAACGATTATGTATGGAGTTAAGAAATTCCACCAGTATCTATGGGGAAAAATATTGGAAATCTTTACTGATCAAAAACCTTATTAACTCGGATTGGTGAGAAAAAAGGCATAAACCAGATGACGTCATCTCGTATGCAACGCTGGGCTTTATTGCTCTCCGCTTACAAGATCGCCTATGTCCATGGGAAAGCAAATGAAATCGGAGACGCTCTAAGCCGTTTACCGTTGAATCCCCTACCAGATTGCGTACTTAAACCCGTGGACCTTGTCCATCTGCTGCAACATTTGGGCGAAAATCTGGTGTCGAATGCAGCTATCCGTCAGGAAACTGAACGGGATTTGTTACTGGCCAAAGTCAAGCGACTAGTCTCTCAAGGTTGACCTGACAGCTGCGAACCAAAACTATCGTCCTACTTTATAACACGCACAGAGCTCAGCCTTGAGAATGGGTGTATGCTATGGGGATCTAGGGCGATCATACCACCACGGTAGCGACGGAATGTCTTACAAGAACTTCATGAAACGCATCCAGAAATCACGAGAATGAAGGCACTTGCGTGATCTTATGCGTGGTGGTCTAATATTGACAGATATCTAAGAGTTGATCCGACACCGCGACATGTGTCAAAGCACTCAGAGGAATGGCCCTCCTGTATTACTTAGTCCTTGGAAATGGCCCAGTAGACCGTGGGAACACAAACACGCAGACTTCTTTGGCCCGTTAGATGATAAAATATTTATTCTCTTGTTTGATGTTTACTAGAAATGGATAGAAATTTCGCCACTTGCATATGCCATCTCTGAAATGACCGTTCCTCGCACACGGAAGTGCTTCAGTATCTTCGGTATACCATCATTATCATACACGTTAGCTGGAGGTGGGAAACACCTCAGCTACTGTGGCGCAATATATAGAAAAAAGGAGAAAAGCAACTGGTGCAAGCCGGCTAAGCTACCGGTAACGGATGGACATCGTTCCGATAAGCTACCAGCCGGCTGCTGTGCATCAAAAAAAATTACTATGCGAAATTATATAAGGCTAAATAATGATATCGTGGTTGGATGGGGAGGCTAAAAAAGATGGGGTGGGACAAAGAAACTCACAGCACGAACGCCACTGGGCTCGGCTCCTAGCCATGTCAACAAGTATATCTAGCCAAACGTGTTCATCATCTTTCGGACCCCAAACAGCCAGCTCCAAAGTGACGGCCTTCATTCCTCTCGACCAAGTCATCGCTTGGCCACCCCTCCTCTTCTTCCATCCACACCCCCGGCGCGCAAACAACGCGCGTCGCGGGAGTCCGTGGGTTGGCATGCGCAACACGTGGCTGAGCCATCTGAGCCTGATGCGTGAAATGACGGTGCTGAGTGGTTCAGTTCCTTTTCCTGTGCCGTAAACAAGACGTCGAACACGCTCGTTGCTCATACGGTGTTCCCACCAGATGTGAGCTAAATTGCGAAGGCACCTGGGGTCGAACGTAACTAGCCTCTTCAGGTCCGCTGCTTTAAGGGGTCAGGTTTCACAACCGTACAGTACGGTCGAACGTACCGCTGCATTGCACACTCTACCCTTCAGGGCAAGAGCGATGTCGCGCCGCCGCCATAGGTGGCGAAGGTTAGCAAAAGCACCCCGAGTTTTTGCTATACAGTTCGTGATCTCATCTTCAGTCTCACGGGCTCTGATACAGATTCCCAGGTAGTTGTATTTATGAACGACTTGTAGCTGATCCCCACCAACGGTCAGCGAAGGAGGCGGTCCAGACCAATCTTGGAGGAACGCTTTGCACTTTGAGGGTGCGAAGCAAAGCCCTAAGT